GTTCCTGAATTCATCCCTCCCTGATCTCCTGTAGCATTTTATAGCTCTTGGAAAGCATATATTCAGTCCACTTTGTACATTGTAAAATTGTGTATGTGTATCAGCCTTCCTTATCTGTCTGTAATTTCCTGAGGGCAGGGATCATAGCTTACCTACAGCTTCTAGCCTAGGACTTGTACCTAATAAGTACTCAATAAATGTTTATTGCGTTAAATTTGCCTTCACCACCTTGTTATCCACGACTATCTTGGTTACAGGTAAAAGAAACCCAACTCAAACCAACTTAGGCAAACAGAGGGGCTGGCTCATGTTCTTGAGGGACAAACAGGAATATATTGACATATATTCCTAGGGAGTCCAGGGTCAGCCCCAAATTTAGGGTGGCCCAAATTATTGCATCGGGGATCAGACTCTACATTTCTTAGCTCTGACTGTCGGGGCAAATTTTCACTAAACCAACTTGGGTCCTATGCCCAACCTTGAAGAAATCATTCTGGCCAGAGGAGTGTAGTACACTGATTGGCCAGGCCTGAGCCATGTGCTTTGCCCAGTAACCAGGGTGATCAACCCCATTTGAAGAGGAGGATAGAAGGTGGTCCAGGAGTGGTCCTCCTACCAGAGGAAGGAGGGATGGCTGCTGGGCAGGCAAAAGCAACCAATATTCACAACAACCCCCTTAACACAAGATCAGGAAGAGGAATCTAACAACTAGAACTATCAAACAAGGAAATAATCTCCCCTATAAAATAGTGAGTTGATCAGCCACTTGTCAGGAATATTTTCAGAGCTTCTTTCTCATTCACATCCTTTGAGATACAAAGAATATCTACAGTGAAGAGAGGAACAAAAGAAGAAAGAGAGCTGATAAGCAGCCTTTTTTTTTTTTTTTTTTCCAGAGAGCAGATGTAGCCGTGGCCCCCTTAACCATCACCTTGGTCCGAGAAGAGGTCATAGATTTCTCAAAGCCATTTATGAGTTTGGGGATCTCCATCATGATAAAAAAACCACAGAAGTCTAAGCCAGGGGTCTTCTCCTTCCTCGATCCATTGGCGTATGAGATTTGGATGTGCATCGTTTTTGCCTACATTGGAGTGAGTGTCGTCCTCTTCCTGGTCAGCCGCTTCAGCCCCTATGAATGGCACAGTGAAGAGTTTGAGGAAGGACGTGATCAGACAACCAGCGACCAATCCAATGAGTTTGGGATATTCAACAGCTTGTGGTTCTCCCTGGGAGCCTTCATGCAGCAAGGATGTGACATTTCTCCCAGGTCAGTCATCAGTCCTCTACCTCTTTGCTCAATGCCACATTTTTCTTAAAAAAGGTACTGTAAAGTTAAGGGATGGGAATTATTTCCAGACTTCACTGCATTTAATTTTTTAAACTATGCTTTACAGTCAACTGTTTGTTGCATGCTAGGGATTATCCAGACTCATCCTGCATCTGGGCCAGTTCTATCTTCTACCTGGTTGATGCACTCAAGATTAATAGGCATAGTCATGGCTTGGATGTTCTGTAGCCGAAAGGCACAGAGAAATGATGGGAGTAGTGTGGTAAAACTTTTATTGAGCACCTACCATATGCCAGGCAAGGTTCTGAGTCCTTTACATGCATTATCTCATTAAATCTTTGCAGCAGCATAATGTGGGACTCTCATTACATCCCTTTTTATGAACAATGGACCACAGAAACTAGCTTGCCAAGCCTACACAGCTAGTAGGTAGCTGAGTTGGTATTTAAACCACCACCCTATGCCAATTTTACATGGTAGAAGGAGCACTGGATTATGAGTCCTGGCTCAAGCACTGACTCTCTGTGTGGCCCTGGGCAAGTAATCTGACACTGGTAAACTTTGGTTTATCCATCTCTAAGAGAAAAAGATTCTCCTTTTCTTGGTTCTGAGAGGGACCTTGGGAGTAATCTAGTTCCAGTAGTTTTGTAAATTTGTGCCTCATGGTTCCAAAAAGGGGTTTCTCAGAGGTGCCTCAGATACTGCCATTGAGAGTAGTAGAACAGATCAGTAGGGTTTCAGCCCCCCACATGGAACCAGAGAAGCTCCATTTTTATCTGTTGTAAAAATTGGACCTGTGATTATGATTTCTTTTGAAAAAAGGATTTTGAAGCTAATAGGAAAGAAAAGAGGAAGGGTGGAAAGGAAGGATGGGAAAGATAAATTTGAAAAATTACCAGTCTTGTCCAATCCCCACATTTACTAGCCTTCTGTCTTTGTGTATGATGTCCTTTCTACCACATTCTGTAATGTTCATGTCACAAGTCCCCTTACCTGATAAATAAGCACTGACTGTATTTCCTTTAACAGTGGCCTCATGTCTATGAACTCTTTTTCTAGTAGGCTTTCCCTTGTAGATTACCAAGTCTCTAAAACATGCAGGAAGGTATGACTTGGAATTGAGCTGTCATGGATAGGTTTGCACACACTCTCACTTTCTAGGTACATACATGTGTAAATATCAAGGCCTCACAGACGTGTGCCAGTGGCGTACTTACCGCCTGTCCACATTTGCATTGGAGTGTCAATGAGGACCAATATTCCTCAGTGGCAATGGAGTAGCATCTTCTTAACAAGCTTCCCCCAGGACTCATTTGGCCTGCTGTATAATTTAGAAAGTCTCATTGTTCACCATAAAATCATGGTTTTTTCTTTAAATAAGACTGTCAGGGCAGGGAAGGGACGTGGAGGAGGAGGTGTGAGACTGGATGCTTGGCCAATACTGGCAAACACATGGTGAAGAGTAGAAAGAACCAAGTAGGGGACGGGCTTGCTTAAAAATAAATCAGGCCAGTGGATAAACAGTGGGAAGAGCGATTCTTCTTTAGTCAGTTTAACGTAAGACCGTCTGAACATGCACGTGTCTGAAAAGACCCATGGACTTGTTTTTTCTCCATTATCTCCTTTGTCAGTGGGCATCTTACTTCTTAACGACACCTCATGGTCTGACTTCAGGGTATGTTTTCATACTCTCACCATTCTTCTAGAGGTCTCAAACTGGTGGCCTACGAGCTAAATCCACTCCCAGGCATGCTTCTGTCTGAGCTCCACAGAGTCTGGCAATGAGTCTTCAAAGCAGAGGGCCAGCTGCCCTCTTTAGATGGTACATGGATTCCACAGCCTCCACCTGGCCTCCTTCATGCCCATGTTACTCACCTGGCCCCTGTGAGGGTATTTGAGTTTATGACCTCTGTACACAAGAGGGTTTTCAAACTGTGCTTCCTGGAGTACTGAGATTCCACTAGCATGTCTTAGGACCTGCCGCGGAAGTGAAGATGAGATTGACCAGGAAGGTCCCTAACATCCCTCTTCCCAGCTTTAATAAGCCACTTCCACTCAGTAGCCTATGTTTTCTCATTGGTAAAATGTAAATAACAGTTCCTACCTCAAGTCTTCTTGGGAAGTTTAAATGAGATTAATATATGCAGGACCAATATCAGAGTACCTAGGCAGCAGATAAGAAGCACTAAAAGTTGGATGACTTTTTTTTATTTTATCAAGTTTATATATTGGACTTCTACTAAACCTCATTAGAAGAAATGGTACCACTGCTCACACTGATTTGAAAACCACTGACCTATATGACTCTCTTCTGGGGAAGTCCACAGACAAAGCAGAAATAGCAAGTGGTTCTCTCCAGAGACCCGGATTCCTGTGCCTCTTCCTAATAAGAACTGAGATGAAGGATTTATGAATGTGGAGGAAAGAGTATGATAGATACAGAAATGAACCAGCCCAAATAGGGAGTTTTGTACACTTGAGATGGCCTCTTCTAGACCAGCCCACCCTGGCCAATTCCAGAGCTTAGGAGTCTGTAGAAACCTCATAGGAGTCAGAGTATGGGTCACAGTGTTTCTTGGAAATATATGCTAAAGAGAAAACACTTATCCTTCATCCGGCCTTGGGCCAGACAAGAAGGCCAACATGCTAAGGCAGGGATCAGGGCCAGGGACCAAGCATACAAAGGTAAACACCAATAAAAGTTTTGTTGTTGTTGTTTACAGATTTCCTGATAAAGTCAAGTCAAGTTTTGTGAGCCTCTGATCTCCACAGCACCATGTTAGACACCCTGAATGCTATGGTGGGAGGTACTTATAAGGGGCTTGCATATGTAAAACATCTTAAAGAATATCCTTTCCAATGAGAACCAATTCGTTTTTCTCACTACTTATGTAAATAATGTATAATAAATCCTTACTAATTTAGAGTTTGGGGAACTAAATCTTCTGAATTGCATGTACCTACACTAGTACATAAGCAGCATTATCTCTTTTTAATCTTTTCAAAGTTCATGTCTAGTAACCAAATGCCAACAAAACGTGGCCAAATGTAATTGTTTGTAAGTAAGAAAAAACCTGACCACAGTAATGTGAACAGAGAGAGGCCTATCTTCCTCACACAGCAAGAAGAGTAGAGACAGACATTGACTCGTGTTGGTTCACTGAAATCAGGATCAGCAGCTCTGTGATTCTCTTGACAAGATGGTTGCTCCTAGAAATTATGTCCATGTTCAAGCAGCAAGAAGGGGAAAAAGTGTTGCCATCCATTTCCATTTCTTTGCATCAGGAAAACAGAAACTTACCAAAATACTCCCCACCCCAAGCAGATGTCTGTTTCTCTTATAGTCCAGAACAGTGGCCAGTGGCCACCTCTAGCTGCAAGGGAGGCTGGGAAGAAAAGAATCTAGGTTTTCTAGCCTCTAGAGTGGGGGGCAGGGGGGAATGGATGTTGGGTAGATCAACCAGCAGCACTGGCCACAGTGCCTAAAGTAGATGTTTCCTGTACCAGAACCATGAGCAGATAAAAATAATCTGTAATTAGCACATTCATAGATGTATCCAAGTAAATACTACTGGCATTCTTTAAAGACTCACCATCCTTCCCTTTAAAATGTTTACATGATAAACTGGTTTTGTGAAATCTATTTTAGTATTCAAAGTTAAAATTCAGCTTAACGATGATTACAGATTACAATTTTTTTTTTTTCATTAGGTTTATGGTGAGGTAAAAATGCCATCCATGAATTGATTTGGTGGGTCTATTTCTTATGCCCAAAGACTTATTTTTGGATTCTTTTTCCATATAGAGGAGCATTTTGAGAAGGGATATATTAAAGGAGGAACAAAAATCTTCACAAGATTTGTCTTTAGTTCCCCCAAATTTCCTTTCTGTACCTTTTTTCCCCTACTTGTGGCCAAGACCATTAATTTATTCAACAAATATTATGAATCGCCTATAACATGCAGGACATGAAGCTAGATGATGAGTCTACGAAGATGTAATGATGAATGGAGCATGGGGGAGGGAGCCTTTAGCACACTCATATGAGACAGATGCTAAAGAAGCAACCATGAATGTTTAAAGTGTGATGTGCTATGAATAAAATGAACCTGCTGTTGCAATAGACAACAAAGGAAGTGGTAATTAAAGGAGACTTACTTAGGGTGTTCCAAGAAGCTTTCTCTGTGGAGCTGTGGATAGGTAAGAAGGAGCTAGGCTTGTACGCAGCTGAGAGACATAGTTATGTGCAAAGGCCCTCAAGTGGAAAAGAGCTAAGTGGTTTCAGGGACTGGAGGAGCGGGCAGTGATTGGAGAGGATATTGGAAAAGTAGGCAGAGAACAGAGTATGTAGGACCCTGTGGCCATGGTATAGATTTGGGGTCTTACTCTAAACTCAATGAAAAGCCATTGGAGAGTTTTAAGAGAAGGATTCATTTAGCATGCTAAAATACCACTCTGGCAGCTATGAAGAAAATGAATTAGAGCAGAGGAGAAGAAAGAGGCCCTCACAGCAGCCCAGGGGAAATTATACTGATGGAAATTATAAGGATGATCATGTAGATGGATTTGTGGTCTATTCTGAAACTATAATGGACAGGACTTGCTGATGAGTTGGCTATATGAGGATAAGGAGAGGGAGGATTCAAGGGTGAATCCAAGAGGCAGAGAGCATTTGGAAAACATGGAACCGTAGTTCCAAAGACCTTAGCTCTGGGTGAAATCATTAGGATGCTCTGGTTAGCCATCTCATATTACAGATGAGGAAACTGAGACCCAAAAGGGACAACAAGATTTTCTCTAAGGTCACCCAGATGTTATCCATGGCCTATTGATGCCCAGGTTGATGCTACTCTACCGTGCAGTCTCAACCCAAGTCTCCATTACCTGCAAGTGAACTAAGAATCAGCATCTTCAACCCATTACTCCCACAGCCCCCACTTCCCTATTGGCTTCTCCATGTGGTCAGTGCTTTTCTAGGT